TTTCTTCCCTGACTCTGTCACCCAGGCTGGAGTACAGTGGCATGATCTCTGCTCACTACAGTCTCTTCCCCCAGGATCAAGTGATCCTCTCACCTCAGCCTCCCAAGTAGCTGGGACCACAGACATGCACCACCTCCCCCAGCTAAGTTTTTGTATTTTTGGTAGAGATGGGGTTTTTCTATGTTGCCCCAGCTGGTCTTGAACTCCTGAGCTCAAGCAATCTGCCCACCTCAGCCTTCCAAAGTGCTGGGATTATAGGTGTGAGCCACTATGCCTGGCTGAAAATATATTTCTACCCCTTAGAGGACTTTATAGCATATTGATGTAATACTGATTATATTATAATATCTATAGTCATTAATAATTGATACTCAGTGAAAGAAAATATTGTTCTAGGTGATGTGACAGTTTTTATATGCCATTCCCTATTTTTAAAGATAAAGTGGGCCAGATATGGTGGCTCACACCTGTAATCCCACCACTTTGGGAGGCTGAGGTGGGTGGATCACGAAGTCAGGAAATCGAGACCATCCTGGCGAACATGGTAAAACCCCATCTCTACTAAAACACAAAAAATGAGCCGGGCGTAGTGGCAAGTGCCTGTAGTCCCAGATACCTGCTAGGCTGAGGCAGGGGAATCACTTGAACCCAGGAGGCGGAAGTTACAGTGAACCGAGATCATGCCACTGCACTCCAGCCTGGCAACAGAGCAAGACTCTGTCTCAATCAGTCAATAAAAATAAAGTGGACTGGGTATGGTAGCTCACGCCTGTAATCCCAGCACTTTGGGAGGTCAAGGCAGGCAGATCACGACATTGGGAGTTCGAGACCAGCCTGGCCAACCTGGTGAAACCCTGTCACTACTCAAAATTCAAAAATTAGCCAGACATGGTGGTGTGTGCCTATAATCCCAGTTACTCAGGAGGCTGAGGCAGAAAAATTGCCTGAACCTGGGAGGCAGAGGTTGCAGTGAGCCAAGATCGCACTATTGCATTCCAACTCTGGGCAACCAAGCAAGACTTCATCTCGCAAAAAATAAAAAATAAAATGAAGTTACATTCCTAGAATAGTGTTTATTGTTATCCAGAATGGTGTTATTGTTACCTTATTTATGAATAAGAGTCATAGAGTTCTAATAGAATCTCAGAGAAAACCAATGTAATCTTATTTTGGTTTCAGTTAGGGTACTTAATCTGAGGGCATGTAATGGAATATTAAAAGTTAAGAAAGTGGATATGACTTAGAATAGAATAAAAAATGGCAGTGATAAATTTAAATTCCAAAATTAAAAATTTGTCTTACAAGTACATTTAAACTGTGGCCAGGCACAGTGACTCATGCCTGTAATCCCAGCACTCTGGGAGGCCGAAGTAGGTGGATTACCTGAAGTCAGGAGTTCAAGACCAGCCTGGCCAACATGACGAAACGCCATCTCTACTAAAAATACAAAAATTATGGCATGCGCCTGTAATCCCAGCTACTCAGGAGGCTAAGGCAGCAAAATCACTTGTTCCCAGGAGGCAGAAACTACAGTGAACTGAAAGCTTGCCACTTGCATTTTAGCCTGGGCGACAGAGCAAAACTCCGTCTTAAAAAAAAAAAAAAACAGGCCGGGCGCGGTGGCTCAATCC